ATACAAACTTCGCACTTATGAAGGGGTATTACATGTAGAACTTGGTAGGATTTAAAAGCACTTCAGAGCTCCCATTTCCATAGCCTGAGGCACATCTCTGTTGATCTATGTGCACTTCCTTCCTATGTCACAAAATTATAACGTTTTGAAGCTCTGACAATCAAATTTCTCTAAATAGTTCAGGAGAATTATACTACAAAATCACAATATTTCATTCAGTATTGCACTAACAGCAAATTAAGAAGGAAAAATGAGAAGGTCTAGTAGAAGCAAAGCTATAGCAACATCCATGACCTGTTTGATACTGAGATCTAAAACCTCATAACAAAAAAGAAAAAAAACCCAAACAACCAAATCCTTAGCTTACATAGAAATCTCCATGAATCATATGAAGCAATATCGGAACATGCACACAACTGCCAGCCAGAACAGATGCATTAGACAGGGCTACATACACAAACTAATCTAAATGTCTAAGTTAACAGGGTCCAAAAGGCCACCCATGGGTGATTGAGAAGAAATGGCGTAGGGAGGCTCAAGCAGCAACCGAACACCTCTGCCTAGGCAGCATGTATGTGAGATCTCAGCACCCTCGAGGGCATGCCCTCCCAGGCAGCACGAGCCCTTTACTTCTGCCCGAAGCAGGAGCCCTCTTGAATCAGCCATCCTCGTGCAGGAGCAAAATTACCAAGCCAGTTCCCTCATTCCTCGTGACCTTTCTCTGACAATAGCCTGAGAGATAAAAAAGGGAGAGGGTGAAAATGTGACTGTTAGGATGCAGAGAGAAGGTAGGCAGTGGAGAAAGGTAAAAGGCAGCTACATTTAGCAGCTGACTTGCAGGAAGGTTTCTTCGATGAGTTAGAACATGAGTTGAGTGGTGATCCAACACCCAAAGCCAGCCCTCAGTTCCTTAAGGTGACGCTACCTCCTTTTCTGCCAAGCCACACCATTTGCTAAATCATGTTTAGTTTAGTATTTTAGCTTAGCTAGCTAAATCATTTCTGTTCTATCCTGTTGTAAATGACAGATAATTCACAGAGGACAAAACACTGACCATCATTTACCAGTAGACTCTTGCCTTTGTACTAGGCGCAAGCTTTTGCCAACTTCAGAAACCAGAAAACCCTGTAGAGACAACTCATAGGACCTATGAGAGGCAGCGTCTCCTGGCTCCCGCAGGTCTAGGAACGTGACAGGGCTAGATCTAGGAGTGGCTGCCTCTCCGCCAAGCCAGAAAAGGGCTAGATATAGGAGTGGCTGCCTCTCAGCAAAGCCAGATACTGCCTATCAACTGATTCATTTGACCAGTCCTCTGGGAGAGACAGCTGCTCTCGACATCTCAGTGCAGTGCCTGTCAGAGCTCGGTTCCCATGAATTCCTGCAAGCCTTCTGCTGCAGCTGCTTCCTAAGGAGGCTGGCGGTATCGGGTACTTCAACACACGAAAATGGCAGAAGGGCACACTTGCTTCCTCTTTAGCAGGGATTGTAAATGTATACTCATGAAATGTGTCATCAGTCAATCAACAGGGGCAGTATATAACTGTTCTTTGTTGGGCTCTTTACGTGTTTCTCCAGATATGCAGTGTAGGGCATTGCTGTGATTACAGACACCATTCCACTGAAATGTGCTCTGAATGACACTTATCTATATAATCCCTTTAAAAGGACAGACATGCATATTTTAAAATTTGTTTACAATTTTAAACTGCAAATTAAAATTTATTTCTGAAGAGGATTTCACATCTGAAGTAATTCTTCTGATCCAACTGAATTTACAGAAGAGGGTGATTTACAGTCAGATTTTCAGTTGCTTGAACTAATGTAATTAAAAGCTGCTATTAGAGTCATACATTACTTGGAATCCTTTTAAAAATACTGCATTCACATACCAAGCTATTTGGAAAATGTCATAACATAAGTGGGTTGCAGCTCATTTGGTTAAACTGGCTTCCTCTGATCGAAATGTAATTAACTGGAATTTTTCAGATGTGTTGACTGGCTTAATGTAGACCTTGTGAACCTCATTCCCAACGTAAAGAAATTTCAGCACATGGAGAAATGGATGCTGTCCTCTAGCCTGTGTCCACACACTGGTGAAAAGACAGCTAACTTCCCAAGACTCAGATTGCAAACGCAGAAAAGAATCAGCACTGGTATTTTATTCTTTAGATAGTGCAAGCTGTGGCTTTAATTATACATACCGAGATTTTCTACACCTGCATTTGGCACATTTCTGACATGGTGCAAACACCTTAGTAATTACATTGTGTTACTTCAGTAATTAGACTTCCCCCCCCGCCCCGCCCCGGGTGTTGTCTCCAGGTAGTTGTGGAGCACTATCAAAGCACCTGCAGCACTAATGAGGTATTATATTCAGCAGAACTTGCAAGAGCAAGTTTTTTCATAAGTCTTTAGAAATTAAAGACTGTGGATTTTAGCTTTGAGAGCTATGTGCTCTTTTAAATCCTTCCAAAAATTAGACCTTCAAAATGCCTCATATTATTTCCCTGATTATATGGTAACTTTGTACCATAGAAATAAAGAATGAATGCTCTTGAAAGTTTTCTTGTGTTCCATTAGCAGTGGTGGTATCAGAAATAGTTGTGTGAATACATGGTGGTTAGATGGTAACGCAGCTAGAGACACTTGAATGTATTCCCATCTGAGTCCACATCTGAACAGCATAGCTGTCAGCACAGAGGATACTGGGGCAAAACAAGGAAAGAAATGGTCTCCAGTTGCCTCTGGAAGATGCCATTGGTGAGCCTCCTACAACACAGGAGCAGGCGATGGTGCGACAGCTCCTTTTTTGGGTGATGAGAGAGGGAAGGAGCAGCTTGTGAATCTATGAAATAGTACCTGGTAATGTGTTTAACATGCTTTAGTAAGCGTTGATTTAGAGTGAAAAGTTTTCTATGTAGCTGAGAAAGGGAATCCTGACGGGCCATAACATTTGCACAGCCCTTGTCAACCCCACTACAGCCATCGTTGTCAGCCCTGCAATTTAGTCAGCATTAAATTTACTACACTTGGGAGAAGAAGAAAAAAAGGCAGCTCAGAGTTCTGGTTATTAACGGCTCTTGCACTTTATGAGAGTATTTAACTCAATGTGCTGAAAGTAAGGGCACACTCAGATGACTGCATACATTTTAGTGATCATTAGTAAATGTGTATTCAGCAAATACAGCCGTACTGACCCTAAACTTTTTTCTACAGTGAAAGTAACAGCCATAGCCAAGAGTTTGTGCTCTTCTACCTCTGTACTTCTTATTCACTCCATCATGCCTACATTCTCTGATTCAGATGCTGTTTTGTTCCATGTCTTTGCAGTCTGTACCACAGAATTACGAACCACTTAACAATGCAATCCTTGAGTAGCACTACAATAAACTACATCATAAGTTTTGATGCAACTATATGTGTCATGAAAGGACCTGCCTCATATACTTTCATTTAAAATAAACCACCTGGTTTCATGGCCCTATGGGGGAAAAAAAAGATGCAGGAAGAGAACATAAACCCCATACTGTTGTCCCCCTTGGTTGGAAGAAAGCCTAAAACAAAAACTCTCCCCCAGTTTATCTCAACAGACCTAACAGTGAAACCAAAGCTTAATCTTCCCTAGACTTTCAGTATTTGCAAAATGATTACTCTATCTCTGATTGCAGCATGACATGATTTCATCTGTACGTACTATAAAAAGGGAGGCCATTGCAGTGCCAGCAAGTTGTTGAACTTTGTCTCCTGGTTACTATTATAATAATCAATTTATGTGGTCAGACACAGATAAATTATTGGAATACTCTAAAGAAATTATAACCACATTTCTGTAATACACTGCAGAATATACAGTCTTCTAGAACAGCTTTATTTTCTTTTTTTCCTTCTCAATATCATAAAATTGATGGATGATTATGTTCTCTGGAACCAAAGAAACAAATGTTGATATCTTATCATTTAGCTGCCTTTCTCATATTAAAATGTGAGCAAAAGCCTACACTGTAGCTAAGCTGTGGTTAAGCAATAGCTGATAAAAATGCCTATATTAAAATACTAATGTAGGCTTCAAATTCCATCACAGAAAAGTGATATCAATCTATGAAAATTTAATGAAGATGTCCTCAAAAAGCTGAAAGAGAAACTGCTTATTATCCAAGGTTTCCATTAGGTACTGCAATTCTTATTTCCCTAGTCTAAATCTAATTTTTAGGAATGTAATTTTGAAAAAATAACAGGAAATAAAACATATAAGACTACCCCCAACCTGAAGGTCAAAGCAATTGCTAAAAATTAAAACACATCCATAACTAGATTATTTTCCAACCTATTCTGAAATAATTTGTTTTCCCACTGCTGCCAAATGTAATCTAATAAAAATGAAAGGAAAATAAGTATTTGTAAAAGAGGCATGCTAATCAGAACCATAAGAAAAATACAAAACTTGCAAATCAGCTAAGTTTGAAGTGATTATTGGCAAAACTACATTGAAGAATTGAATATGTTTGGACAAAACTGGTTTGTGCTTCGTAAGTATCCAAATACTGTCCAGTTAGCAGTTACTGGTTGTCCCAACATGAACAAACTTTTTTTACTTTACTAGTTTACTGCACATTCACCCCAGTACTTAGTTCCCAAGGAATTTAAGTACAATATTTAATGCTTACTCACATTTCTAAAATATTCAAAGTTCTGTCTAAAATATGTATTTCTGCATTCATAGAATTTAGGCTAAGGCTTGATTAGGCTAACAGTCAATCTTTTCCCTAGACATTTCTTGAAGTGTATTGTCTAATTTAAATAGCAAGTACAGCACATAGGAACTAACACGTATGCTTTTCAACTCACTGAAGAGAAACATACCTGTTTAAAACATCACTAATCTCTTTAAACAATTAGACAATGAATTAACAGACGGAAATAGTTGTCCTCTCCTACAAAAGCTCTTGACTTAAACACATTTAGGTTTTTTACTGCTGTTGAAATCCACAGGACCAACACTGAAACGACACCTCAAGGTGACGATGTTGAAATTTCACGCTCACTTGAATTCCTCCTTCTTTGCCCCAATAGCTAGGCAACAGATTAAAACCTGAACTTTTGATGTAAGCAGCTAGCATATGCAGCATCTCACTACACAATCTCACTATAAAAAACAAAGTGAAAGTTACAATAGTAAGCTTTTTTATCAGGGTTATATATAGGTGTATATGACCATATATGTACTCAACAAACATAGACTTACGCTAGACAGTAGAAAAAATAGTAATAAAAGATTAAGATATCTGTTCCTCCACGTCTTCTTCTTTGCCGATTATATAGTCTACAATTTTACAGAATATTTTTCTCTGCTCTCTTTCCTCATTAGATAACAGGACTAACTTCTATAATCTTCTTTTCAGGATGCTGAAGCTAAGTATATTCTCCAGAGTAACAGGGAACCCAATGATAGTTTCTGGAAGTACGAACAGAATAGGTGATATTCAGCCTTTGCCACAGAGCTCCCTACAAGGACATAAATCTTGATTTGTAGCTCTATTGCTTCTCCTGCCCCAAAAATCTGTACATTAGACATTGCTAGCGTAGTCAAATAGAAGAAAAAAAATTAAGTAAAGAAAAAAAGTATCTTCTCCAATTAAGTTCTGGCTTCTCTTGCTATTCATTGAAGA